AAAAAAAAAAAAAAGAAGAAAAGGAATTATTACTAGACTGTAGATTTTTATGCAAATATTCGTGAATTCAATTAAACAAATATGTATTGTAGAACCTAAGCAAAAGCTTGTTTCATCTGTTAAATATTATATTAAGCACTATACTACGCTGTACACATCTGTGAATTCGAGATACTTATGTTTGATTAACACGTGGTATGTTTATATATTAAATATTTTGTACATTTTCTTATATTACGAAAATCCGAAAGTTCAGTTTAGTTGAAACTCCGTCACACGAGTAACAAATAGTTCACTGAAATAATAGTAATAATTTGAAAAAAATTTAGTGACACGCGTTCTGATTTAAAAATATTTTGAAACGAGGTTGAAATAAAAAGGAAAGTGCAAAAAAGAATGAAAAAAAGTCGTGTTAGAAAAAAACTGCCCTCAATAAATCGACGACACAACTGCGTGTAGAATATTTAAAATATCTATTTAGTTGCTCTGCAATTGCATAACAATTCGATAATGTTCCTGTGGTAATTTTTTTCTTTGTCACTAGAGGAAAGAAAAAAGATTAGATTAAATTTCTATTCTTAAGTTTCTTTTCTTGTTTTATTTTGTTGTTTCTTTTTTAAGAAAATCAACTTTAAGGAAATTAAAATTTTTGTAAATTGAGCTTTAAATTTCATTAATATTGTCAACGATTCGAGGCAATAAAATTATTAGTTTTTCAAGTAAAACTATTACAACGTCGTGATTAATTTTATAATAAATTTAAATGATTCTCAAGCAATAATAATTTTAAATAAAAGTTTCCAATAACGATTTTACAGCAGGTGCATTTATTCCATGTTTGAAAAGTCATCCTTCATTTTTTCTGACACGACGTAGATAACTTTTAACACTAGAATTGCCAACAAGTAAAGCGTGAAGCCTGCATTGAAGAAAATTAAAGTGCATGAAACAGGAGAAAAGTTTATAATACGGTAAAAAAACACAAACTTTTATTTATGCATATTGCGAAAACTCATTCAACCTTCTGGAAATATGTCGTCGTGTATTGTCTCTAAAAATATGATGTGTGAAATTTCTGTAAAAAGTTACAAAAAATGTAAAATTCACGTTAAGAAAAGAATTATTCTCATCACTTTTACAGCTCTTGTTTTAGAATCAAAGTAGGATTACGCAACTAATCTGTTAAACACGTGCAATATTTTTCCAAAAAATTTCAAGGATTCGATCAGAG